ATATATATATATATATATATATATATATATATATATATATATATAGAGAGAGAGAGAGAGAGAGAGAGAGAGAGAGAGAGTCAAATATAAGGGAGAACCTGAAATCCCAGATTTAGTATTATTAATCGACACAAGATTTATTTTACGACAATCTGACTATTATGGGCAAGATACGAGAAGGATACCTCGATCGCGCGGACACTGTGGATCGGACGATGGTTCCTGTAAAACCTAGGTAGAGACCTGCCTTTTCTCGACCACCACCTGCTCGCTGTAAGACCTTCGTGAACATATGCCGTGTCTGACGAAAGATATTCCCAAGCAGCTTGCGCGTTCCGGCGCGACCCATCTGGTCTCAAGTTTCTCGTCGCTAACGTATAACGTATAACGTTCGGCGGTGCATTTCGTCGTCCTCGTTGTTGTTTTACCGGGACCATTAAACGTATACTTCATACACGACTTCCAGAGAGAGGCGCATCTGTGCGAAATTATCGCACGTCGTCATAATTTTCATTGAAACTAAACTTGCCGATGATTGTTGATTTTACGCAGCGTACGGTCATTGAACAAAAAGGTTTTTCGTTTTGGGCTGAATTTGTTAACTCATCCATCTTGTTCAATGGGAGAGTTCGCAAACTCACCCCAAAAATTAAGGACAACTTTTTTGCCCGCATACGTTTTTTTATGTTTTTTCATACAGTGAGATCCCAACGCCCAAGTGTTCCGCCTAAACTCAAAAAGCTTAACAGCTGTACAGATATGAAAAATAGATATATAATGGTGCGCGCGAGGTCGCTCATATAAAAAATATGTGACATCAAACTTTTAACGGAAATCGTTCAGACGTGTAGACGTACAGCAGATTGATTTCTTAACAAAAATCGCGGAAAAGCGCACCTTTACTATTGAAATGGACGACCTATAGGATGCAATATTTTGCTACAAAAAAAAAGCCGCACAGGAATAGACTAGCTAGTAAGTGAATAAGCGAAAATTGACCAGTTAGCAAATTAGTTATAATTTTGGGATCGTGCGGCCAAATACAGTTATTTTCCATCGACAAAAAGTGATTACGTAAATAAATACTTCAAAGGGTATTTTATGCTTTTTGGTCGCGTTTTCTCAGTCGCGCATTGTGACTCGTAATGAAACACTGCCATCGCTAACCACGTAAATATGCAATACCTCTTAGGTCGAATTAAATTTATCTTTCATTCGGGATAAAGAAGTTTAAACATGCCTTCTGCGACATCAAGTGCAAAACTATCAACGATGCATTATAATATATTCATATGTTCTCGAACGTTCGAAGGGACTTTGTTTACTGTTCAGAGTAGAAGACTCAAAATTAATGTACGCTTGTGTTATATATGTTGCACACCGTGCGTCGCAGCTTGAGAGAGACATGCCGAAAAGCGTCTCGCATAAATATGCGATACTTTGAAGCAGAGTAATTTATTACTCGCAAGGCGTTTTCTTTGATATCGACGGAGCCGATGGTACGCGTAAGGTTTCAACATATCGACAAAGTTACCCCTCTAACAGCACCAATCTATTGCAACTCATAGACGATATTGACAACTCGGGCGACTCGCATACCTGCAACCACGTACGTGTATTGGGGAGAAGGTTATATTTTCGTTCGAAACAAAAAGACGAACGAAAGTACGACGCGGAGTTGCCGCGAGACGCTGAAATACAGTCGTAGGTTTCGGGATTGTAAGTGCGATAATACCCCGTTGCGTTAAGCGGGGTCTACAATGAAGATTTAAGCTTTAAGAAATTGACCAACCACTGTTGAATATTCTTGTAAAAATCGATTGTCAATTTCTTAAAGCTTAAATCTTCACTGTAGACCTCGCTTTAGGGAAAAGAAGGAAGAAAGAGCAACATTGTTTATCGGGACGATATCGTATTTCTCCCGGTGGATGGCCGAATGGCCGCACCATGAATCGCACATATAGCCCTGACAAAGGAAAGGAAGGAGAGGAAGTCGGGAAAAAGATGGAGACAAGGACGGAGATATATACACAGGGTCGCATATTATGCGCCTTAAAAACGTTACGAAAACGTTCAAAATTAACTCAAAACAAGCTCGAGCTTTTATGCGATATGAAATCTCTAAAAGAGCTATAAAATCGATCAATCTTGCGACTGATTGTAAATTGCGATCAAAATTACTGTTAATTAGAATCAACATTCACGATACAAGTAAATAATCTTTAGATCAGACGCGTTCGTCTCGTTAAATTCATACAATTTCTATTTCAATCCGATAATACGTACGATTTCTTTTGCGGTTATATTTTAATAAAAAAGTATACGATATATGTCTCTCGATGAAATATCTTTAGTACGCCATCTATATCGGACATTGCGTGTTTAGATTTAATATATTACTTTTAAAGTGTTTGTACCTTTGAGAATTTGCACGAACGATTCGTTACGTAAGTACAAATGACAATAGAAATTAAATTCCAACAAGATATAGAGATGAAAAAGATAGATATAAAGATGGAAAAGGAAGCAGAAGATCATTTAAATGGTAGCTATACTTAAATTAGCTAACACTTACGGAGACGATTTGTACATGTCGAGAGTTAATTCTCAATCATTTGGCAAGCTGTCGAGAGCAACGACGTAGCTCTGCTTGGAACATTTACATTGTCATGTAAACCATACGTGATGTGATAATACAAATGCGAACGACAAATGTTCGCATGATCGATGTCAGTGAGTTAATTCCATAACCGACTCACTTATCCTATTTATTTATCGTCCATAACGAGGAACGCACTAAAGCGTCCAAGAACGACACGCTGCGAATATGGTTTGAATTTGCGCGTCCAATGTCGAACTTCGACGGCAATCATTCCCCTTTTACACTACAGATTAAGCGCACGAATGAAATTTACGTAGCGTTTGTGTCACTAGGAACTCTTTTCATAGATTTATAGATTCATAGTTTTTCGTGATGCATCACCGCTTTGATCGACAATAATAAGAAACTACTTGCCACAGATCTTTGATGGAGCTTAATTAGGCAATCAATGGGATAATATCTGAATAATTGCAAAAATTGCCATGTAAACAATGTAAAAACTTTGACTACCCACACATATACACACGTGCACGCGTGCGTGCTTTTCACTAAAAGAAAAAAAATATATATATATACATGTGTGCATAAATGTGTGTGTGTGTGTATGCTTCACTTTGGGACACCCTGTATAATATAGATAAGCTTATTGTCAGTCGAGTGAGGCAATGTGCTGTAGGCGCTTAGTTCACAATTAATCTTGCATGCCACCAAGAAAAAAGAAAGTTTGACAGGTACAAAACTATAACACTAAGATGCCAGGAATTATGAATCAATCGTAATTATCATTGTCGATGATGTAGACACGCGAAACAGCATTACATTATCATAATGTCAAGATGAAACGTTGAAGACTATTTCCCCGTGTTTGTGGCATCGAAATTTGAACTTACCGAAATTACGTCGGCTTCGTCATCTGTTTATATCTCGAAATACAAGAACAAAGCTCAACCGCGACAAGGCGCAGCCTACAAGAAAGCGAATTGTACACGATTTCGGCGTGGAAAGATTAAAAACGCAGCACGAATTTTGTCGGAATTATATTACGGGCGACACGATACGACGTACTGCACCGAGATACCGTGAGCGAAACAGCTGCAGAGCTACGTCGACGACAGGAAAAAAACTCTGGCACGTTTGTATCGTCAACGACGACGACGACGACGACGACGACGACGACGATGACGACGACGACGACGACGACGACGATATGTTGGGTCGGTTAATGGAACGATCGTCAACGCTAGCGAGAATCGACGGCGGCGACCCGAGACGTTTGCGACGATACGACGATCGAAAAGTCCGAGGTTCTCAGTGATGTGGTATCGTGTCGAGTGATGAAGCGAGAAACGAACAGCGAAGACGTCCGGAAGAGCGAGAGAAGCGATGCGAAAGACAGAGCAATGTACACGCATCGATGGAAGAAGAGACACGGAATGTAGGTAAATAGTAGGAAGGAAGGAAATCGATATCGAGAAAGAGAAACGTGTAAAGAAGCGTAAATTTCGATTTGTGACGTGTATCAACGCAAACGTTACGAACATACGTAGACGACGATGAAGCTCCGTTTCCGGTGTGCGTTCCGTGCCCGTCGTCGCCGCAGGGCGTATCGATTCGGACAAAACAATTGTGGCCAAGTGTGCCGTCGCCGTAGCCGTCGCCGTCATCGTCATCATCATTGTCGTCGTCGTTCTCGAGTCACACACGCATTCACCTTGATATAGAATCGCATCTTTATTCTCCGCCCAGTGCGCTAACGACGACCGTATAGTATTGTCGCTCGGTCGGTCGACCTCGACGTCATCGTCGTCGCTATCGCGTGGAGAAACGAACAGACACTGCGTATGATATTAATCCTACCGTTTTGGATAACACTCCCGCGTCGCCGTCATGCCTCAACGTTCTTGATGTTCTTGTCCCTGCCTGCGATAGCGATTGTCGTTGTCGAAACGTCAGAGCAGAGGCCACAGCGATATTCGAAGCAGGCAGGCAAGTAAATAAGTAGACAGACAGACAGACAGACAGACAGACAGACAGACAGACAGACAGACAGGCAGGCAGGCAGGCAGGCAGGCAGGCAGGCAGACAGGCAGGCAGGCAGGCAGACAGGCAGGCAGGCAGGCAGGCAGACGGGTAGAGTAGGCAGACGGGTAGAGCAGGCAGACACGCGCGTACCGAACACACCAGCAACGTGTTAATAACGCATCGTATATGACACTCACTCACTCACTCACTCACTCACGCACGCACGCACGCGCGCTTTTACCGCGGATACACACTTTCTATAGCGCGCGCGCGCGCGCATACACACACACACACACGAATCTCGCGCCTTAGCCACCAACGCCTATCTTACGTAGGCGACACTACACCTCACTCAACAACGGCGTACGACAAACTGAGGCCGACTTGGATTCAACGCGGCTCAGCGGGATGAAGGGGCAGCCGACCGACCGCAAGGTGGGGAAACCATCGAATCACCCATGGTGGGGAGCGCCATCGCAGGTACGGACATCGCGCTCGAAGCGCCACCTCCCTCCATCGAGCGCGACCGAACTGTTCTGTGTACAGACTCTATCTACGTTTCTGAGACGAGTCTCTATATGGAAATTAACCCTATTTCATAGGAAATGTCTCATATTTAATGACGATATGATCAAAGATAATTTTCTTTTGTTTTATATTTCAATACTATAGTCTCGTACACAACGCATCGTAGGTTGCTCGGAAAGAAAGTAATAATATACTTTGTGGATACTATGAACAACAAGAATATATAAATATTCTTGCTGTTAATCAAAGCTATTACATACGTTCTTTGTTACGAGGAATAATACTTTATATTATTTCCCAAACAGCGCAAATTTCTAAAAAACGTTTTAAAAGTGTCAAATGTCTTCAATGTTCAATGTCTTTAAGACACATCTTTCACACAAATTTATGCTATTTAGGACTAAATTATAGTTTCGACTATAGTTTTTTTTTTTTAATCATTTAACTGATTGTTGTAAGCCAATTGCGTTCTATAGACTAAGAAAAATGTAAATAAAGATTAAAATTGCAAACAAAGCCTGGCTTTCGTATGTTCGATTTTATTCTAACTCCTTCTCTCTTGTATGACTTTTTAATCTACGATATATTTTTCTAATTTGATTTTAAGAAAGACTGCGCCTTTCGCGTAGAGCGCATGGCGCGATGCGAGCAGAACAAGCATCGCGTTGCGACGCGTAGGTAATGTATTTCTTATAGACCACGAGGGACACTGCAAACGAGGAATACTTCAAAGGTACGACTACATCTTGCTTACATCAATAACGTTAAACGAATCAATCTGACGCGCGCTTGCGTAACAATAAAATAATGTTATTATCATAACTCGTACATAAGAAATTTTCTCGAAAAAATAGTGGCATTTCGCATTACAGATTAGTGTAATAAAAAATTAATAATTTATAATAATTAATAATTTATAATAATTAATAATTTGAACACGGAATTTAATATAAAAACTATGACGTTGATGTTGTCGAAGCAATTGCTATTTGATAATAAAGCAGGTAAGGCAACAAAACAAGGCGACTATAAGATACAAAAAATTTGTCACGTGCGGAAATTCCAACTCCATGAATACATCCCTGCCTACAGGGAATGCTACAGGGCTTAATATCGTGGAGAATAACAGAGAGGAAGGAAGATAGAGGCGACCCTCGACGAAAAGGAATGTGTCAATGCCGAAGGCATGACTGTAGGACGAAGGGACTGTCGAATGGAAAAAGAAAAAACGGTAGGACCTACTCTGAAAGAGAAAGAGAGAGAGAGCGCCTCGCCATGTCGCGCCGCGTCTTGTCTCGTCTCGTCGCGTCTCGCTGAGCCACGCCACGCTGCGTCGACTAGCAAGAGAGAGCCCCTTCTTCCCGTGAGACGAGCGAGATTGGCGAGAGGCCGCACCCACGCGCGGTCTCCGCGCTTCACGTACAGGAGGGAACCTGCACGCACACAGCCCTGAAGAAGCCGAGTAAACACGCTGCGACCGTTCTCGCAGCGCTCTCTCTAGCTCTCTCGCGAGGGATATCGGTAAGGGTCGGAAAAAGCAGTTTTTGAGAGCACGAGAATCTCGATGACATTAAGTTTTTAAGTTTCAGAAATGTTTCATTCGCATTACGTAAGTCGTACTTGATGTACTATGTACCTTCATTTTCGCAACTCGAACTCTCCGAAATTATATTCATTTTCATTTTCCAGTCGCTCGTTCCTTCTCTCTTAATTACTTTCAGCTAAAACTGCTCAACCGCGATTTTCCATGTATATATCGTGTTTGTTTAAAAAAAAAAAAAAAAACAAAGCAGAGAGAATTTCGACGAGAGTACACGCATGGGAACGCGACTTTTGACCGTAGTACTCGCTTGTTCTCGCGCTAAACGCATGCGTGCGCGGCTTTTTAATTCTACCGATTCGCAGCCGTCGCGTGATGGTTGTCCGCTACGGGGAAATTTGAGATAGACGAGACGTACTCTATTCCACAGCAATATTTGAGGGGATGCTGGATACTGACGTAATGCAGCTTTCGCATTTTGTACTGTTTTTCTTTTCTATTTAGTTAGAATTTAGTTAGAATTGTAAATGCTTAATAAATACTTTCATAGTAAGTAAAAAAATACAAATGCCAGTGCATAGCGAAGTACTCCATGTTATATCAAAAACCAAAAATAATCTTGCAAATAAAAAGAATATTTTAAAATTTTTCATATAACACGTCCCGCCATTTATTGACATTTGTATAAGCGTTCTGTATAAGGACTCGCAAATCCATATAATAAAATAGAAAAAACAATGCAAAAAATAGTGCAATGTTGCATTATATTGGTATCCCAGCATCCTCTTAATGCGTATTCATATCGTTTTGTAGTCGTTACGTGACGCAACGACATAAATACGTAAAGCGTGTTGTGCGCGCGGGCTACGAGCGTCAGCGATCGCTAGGCAGCTCTCTCGTACATAACTTGCACAATATACAGACGGTGTAGCGGCGGCGTTTTTGCAAAGTCCGAGTGTGCTCGCCCTTAGTTCGACATCGAGCATAAACAGACGTACAAACGAATTGCTGAGACTAACCGAAGCAACGGTAAGTACTTGAAAGCAGAAGCTTATTTCTCTTTCACGGTAAGATGGGGACCATAGATGGGGAGCATAGATTTTTGAAATCTATGCTCGTACCGACATTGGCGCCATATCGCCAATGTTACAACGTTTCCTTTCTGTTTTGTAATGTTTTAGACTTCGGAATTTGTGTTGTCGGGAATTTTACTTACGATCACGCTACGCAGCACAGTATATTGTGGAGAACGTCAGATCAGACAAATATCATGGTCGAGTACGCTAAGCGCGCTGATAACTCCAAGTTAAGCCAAAATCAACACACGCCCCAACATCGTGACACAGCTGCCGCACAGAGTGCGTTATATCGAGTCGAAGCTCGAATTCTTTACATCTCTCTTTCTCTCTCTCTCTCTCTCTCTCTCTCTCTCTCTCTCTCTCTCTCTC